TAATTGTATTTGATTTTCTTATTTTCATAGTTTTTCAGTTTCATTTGAAAAACTGAATTGTTTTATATATATATAGTTCTCTATATTCAGTACTTAATGTACTTATTTATATATTACCATTTTATTATGTTTATTGATATTTAGATGAATATATATATATTTCAAATGTGTTTTCAATTTAATTCTTTTACACTTTCGTTATAAATATATATTTCTTTTTAATTTTCTCTAAAAATCCATACACATTCACCACCTCTCTTTAAATGTGATATAAGTGATAACATGACCAAATTGTAGGTGTGTGTTTAAGGTTTAGACAGTTGTAGGGTTCTTTTGTACATGTTTTTATTCAATGTCTCCCTTAAACCAGTGTTTCCCTCTCCTGGTCTTTAAGGCACATATTGGTTTGATCATTGGAGAAAAACTGACAAACATAACACAGGAGCTCTAACAGCTGACCCACAGACACATTTTTACTTTAATCAGCTGTCCTGCTGGACAATTTCAGATTTACTCACTTTCCTTCTTCACACAATAAGCTGGGCGGCTGTTTTCTGATTCCTTCAAATCTTTCTTCTGTCTGTGTCTCTGTTTTACACTTCAGATCAATGTTCTAGTGATTCCTTTGACCTTTGACCTTTCATGACAACCTTTAATCTCTGTGTTGAAACGATCTTCACCTGTCACGTTTGCTCTTTCACATTTCAACATTCCTGTTGAGTTGGCATATACATTATATATCAGCCTTATAATAAGTCAGGAGAAATCCAATGCCTGTCCCCTCTTTCAAGTTTTTTCAGAATCTTACGGTCCAGTCTTCCAGCAGATGGGCATTCTCACTGCTGTTTTTGTAACAGCTCTTTCTAGAACTTATTTAAATGTTGTCAAGCCAAAGCTGACTGGCCTCTTTAACCAAACATTTATATCATACATATGAAAATCAGTCCTTTCTGGTTTTTAATTTAAAAAAACTTTCTATACCACATGAAGTAGATTAATTGTAATGTGCTGTGTAAGCAATGGGTCATCTAAAAAAATGTAAATGCTAACAAATAACTAATGTTAAGTAGATATTCCTACGGATTCATTTATGTTCAGTGACTTTTTTTTGTGGTGTCAATTTCTTTCAAGTTTGATTTAGTAAAATAAACCATGCTTTAAAATAAAGTTTGGGATCGTCTTAACTTATGGAGACGTTTCTGTTGTCTGTTTGCATATTTTACTATTATTGGCTTAGAGGTGTGAGGGTCAGCATGTCGGATATGCTCTGGTGTCAAGGTGCTTTCATAGACAAACACAGATCATTCCCCTTAGACTAGACCATTTTTATGGAAATGGGAAGCAATAACTGCGTTACATATCAGTGTCTGCGTCATGTTAATCACATCCTTCATATAAAAGCTGAAAAACTTAACACATATTTATGGTATTATTCTTGGCTTTAATTCAGAATACCATGACTCAGTGTGATGCTAACAACTGTTCAATGACAACAAGTGCACATTGCGCCATCTTCTGTCTGCACCATTTTAGATGTTCACAGGGGACTTTGGGTGGACATTAGAACAGCCCCACAGGAACATCAGATGAATAGTAACATTGCAAATTAGGAATCTTTATGCACTGTATGAAGCACCATCAGCTTTTATCTTTGCTTTAGGCCCAAAGTGCTGTGTAACATTTGTCCACCAAACCTAGACACCCAACACACCACTGTAACTTCTCACACACCTGTCTTATAGTTACGTAATAACTCTACCGACATTTTTGAGAAGTTAAAGTCAAATATGGTCGATGGCTCCGTTGTCGTTCTGCCTGGATTTAAGAATAGGTCAGCACAAAAAATCAGTTCATTCAGTATGTTGGCTGAGAATAATGACATTGTGTAAAAACAGGAAACAGCCATCATGGATCTTGATAAAAGCCATTCATGCGTAGATATCTGATGCCTCACGGACCAATTATTAAAATGCTATGAGTCATAACTATGGGTATAACTATCAGTGGACATTTTCCAACCAAATTAGGTTATAAATACTCCGACAAATGCAGCTAATGTCTGAATTAACTGTGTGCCTGTTTGTGTTACAATGTGTGAGACCACACACCAAGTTTCAATATTTACTGAACTGATAATTGTTTATCTCAGACAAGAGAGCAACCTTTCCATTCCCAAGATAAAATCGCAAGTGTGGATGGATCGTCTCCTGGACAACACTGTGTGTGAGAGAGGGAGAGGCCAAACCCAGCACCAGTGCAGCCTTATCTGTGTACACATTGCCATCTAGTGGTGCAAAAACAGAACATTTCTGCTCCATAAAATTGGAGATATGCTTGGATGACATGGGTTTCAGCCAGCTCTACTTTAAGATGTTACTCCCCGGGTCTTCCTTGGCCATTTTCAGGCAGCACGTAACGAACACCAGAGAATTCCAGCAGCTGACCACCACAGAGGGACACTCAGCTGCCAGTCACCCGTCAATGTCTAAACCGATCCCAAACTGTGGGTTCAGCTCAGAGTGGGTGGTTCATGTCTGAAAAACGGCTTGTATCTGGACTATCGGCCCGTTTATTGACCATCACAACGCTGTATTGTTTTAGGATGTGTTGAAAGAAGGAAAGTATTTCACGCGGGCTTGTGTTGAGGAGTCCTCCACACTGAGTAGTTTTTCCAGCTGCATATACAAGACCAATATTTTCACAAGGAATGTGAGAAATTCTCATGAACACACCAACGAGTGGCCCTGAAATTATGAATAGACAAAAAGGAGACTGTAAAGCTGGAGAGGGACAGCCTGTTTAGAGTTAAAAAAAAAAAAAATCCACATCATAAATTTGATTATTTTTAACATTCACCCACGACTCCCTTGAAAGAGCATCTCTGTAAAGCATCACAGTGATAGGCGCCGGGAGCGGTTTATAGATTCCACGTCTAAATTCAAATTAAATTGCAGCTTTTAATCAATCTGACAAAGGATACCGATTATTTGAACTGGGATCAGAGCAGCTGATGGAATAACTGTTTTGCTTTCAATCCCAGTGAAGTTGCTCCTGTTGTTTCTGAGAAAATTACCCTTCAAAAATATGCTTCCAGTCGGTAATAATTATCTTAGTATTGGACTTGTTGCCAGATGAAGGATCAATAACCCCAAAGAACAATTAAAATCAAATCTTCCCCCTCCTACTTCCTGTGTAATTGCTGCAACCCGGCATGTGTAGAGGGGCGCATAGTCAACTGCTGTGCAGCTATCATCTCCCTTTGTGTCCCGGCCCCTCGTGTCTTCAGAGTTATCTGCAGCAGTGACATACTGTACTTGTTCTTGCAGATGATTTACTACAATTGCTTATGCAACCATGAGGTAAAAAAAGGAAACTCATCATTTTGGCAGTCATAAACGTTTGAGGCCTTTTCTGTTAGCGCGATATGATCTCGGACTGGAGCGCAACAGAAGTAGCCATTTTTCCATTTGGCGATAAGCTCCCTCCTGACATGTGTTTTGTTGTCATGATTGCGCCGAGTTAACGGCGCTTCTGGGTGGTTAGAAAGGATTAGCTGCTAAATCAAAGATTGCATGTGGAAAAAACAAAACAAGAATATTCAAATGCGCACTGACAGCTACAGTTTTGCTGCACTTCTGTCTCATCTTCAAATGATGCCCTAATCTCAACTAATCTCCCAGCCCTTTGTTTGCCAGCGCTCAGAAACAAAAGCCGGTGGTCCCCTCTGATCCGAATGGCCCCCTCTTCAAAGCACGAGTCCACCGCACCTTTAAGCATCAAAAGATACACAAGTGTTTGATCGTTCTTTGTCAGGGCTATGCGGGCTGAAAACCAATACTGGTGTGTTATCTTTTCAGATGCTTTCGTGAGATCATGTGACAGAACCCACCCCTTCCTTCCCCTTCTCTTTTTTTCGTGTTTGGGGACCGTAGCCCGCCCCTGGCCACACCGGCATATCCACTCATCTAAAGAGGAAGCAATAAGGCTGGAGAGTCATAAAGCGTGTGCTTGAACCCAAAGCTTCGCACAAAGGAGAGAGAAGGTGCATTGTGTAGTGAGAGAGATGTATTGTATCTGCGAAGCTAAAACAGTCTGTCAGTGCTCCATTTGCTATGCTGACCCTGGGGATATTGATCGGCTTTGCAGCTCTGATAATGTTATTTTGAGAGAAAGGACAGACTGAGCCTGAAGGGAAGACATAAAAAAGCCCATATTTTTTCCTCTTTCACAAACAGCGTTTGGTGGGTTGTACTTACAGGCAACGACTGCTAATGTGAGTTGCAAAAAAAGCTGATTCTGGCACCTCTATATGCGCCTTATCGGAATCCAAACACTTCTGAGATATGACTCAGGAGCTACTCATATTCTAGTTTACTCATTGACATAAACATATGTCAGGGGAAAGTCGCTGTAAACAGGTGTGTGAGTTAAAGCTGCCATAGGATTTTCTTTTGGACGGCTTTATAATCCGAGTCCACAAGCGGAGGAGGCTTTTCCCAGTCAATGGAAGCATGGCGTCGGAGATCCGTGTCCCACAGGCTGCAGGAGACATGAGGACCGCACACAGACAGTGTGTTTCCTTCACTGCACACCATAAACCCCCCACCCCCCACCACACATGGCTGTAATAAGCCAACAAATTAAGCCATTACACTGTTTTTTAAGGTACACAGACATCCGCGTTTAAATGTTTTAAGAGTAGCAAGGGATAGCTCCCTCCAAGTTCCATTGTATGTCTGAGACCACCAGGGAAATGAGCACACATCGGTCTTATCATTAGAGAGCCGTGAGATGATATTGTCACGGTAACAGAGCTGTACTGTGGTCTGCTTCTTCTCACTGAACGGAGTGTTTGCTGTGGATGAGGAGGGAGTCTGGGCGTCTGATGGGAGTTTTCAGTGGGATTTCACGGCACTGCATCGTTGTTGAAAACAATACGTGGCGTTTAGGACGTGTTAATACAGGCATATTTCCTGTTGGAGTGGAGGGGTGCGGGTCGAATGGGTCAAACCCGTTTGGCACCGTGCAAACTGGCCCAGGGCAGGACTGTGACTTCAGCCAAATCTAATGATGGTGTGCGAGCGAGCGCTCACTCCCACTCTGCATACAGTTTAAGAGCAACACCTATAAAACTTCATTATGCTGCTGCTGTAATGGGGTTCAGGAAAGTACTCCGGGAGCTGACAAAAGAAGGGGCGTCTTGTAAACCCTTGAGGGAACTTTCTAATTAAATACTCACTCCTCAGCTCCAGTAAATAGCGAGAATTTCGAGCTTTTCCAACATGTCATATTTTCTCCATACCTTGGGCGATGAAATGATGCCAGAAGTTGGGAGTCCATCTTGAGGAATTTGTTCAGGATGGTTTTTAATGGTTTTCCATGTAGAATTGTTTTTCCAAGCTACTGTGAAACTGGGAGGCGAGGGCTTGAGGGGAAAGGGGCTTCCCTGGGATGTTGGCAAGCGTCTCCAAGGCCATATGTGGGGGTTTGATACAAAAAACCTGCCAGAATTTCATATGAGCCGCACGGACAAATCCAACACTTAGTCCACACAAGGCTGTTGCAAAGACAGGTGTGTGCCTGGTTTACCTCTAGTTGATGTTTTGCTCAGCGACTATTTAGGGAAAATATATGGAAAAGCAGATAAACAAATAAACTTGAACTCTTAAACACTTGAGATTAGACCCTTTAAGTTATGCTCACCTGTCCCAGGTAGTGAAAGGTGTTACAGTAAAAGTCTAAAGAGAACCTGGTGAACACAGAGTAAAGAGGTAAAAGTTGAGAATATCTTCCACTCCCACGCTTCAGTGAGATTTTTAGATCTTAAATGACTTCATTTTATGGTGCAATTAAAGAGGGAAAGAGAACATTTTCCAAGCCCTTTCTGCTTCGAACTCATTACGGATCTAGATCAGAGTCCGTTAATCCAGCTATAATCCCGGTTTGTGAGGTTTATCGTGCTTTTATGAGTGTGTTCTGTCTTTTTAGGGCTGTAATTGTTTGTAATGACATCCCACTAGCTCTCAGCGTGAGCCTGCTGGCTCCACCACCACCACCGGCCCTGTGACTGCTGCGCACAACTATGCAGCGCTCTACCTGCTCCTGCTCCCCGTGCACGTCACTCACGCAGGCATCCTCCAATCGCCGGGCGCGTGCGCTCCGTGGCTCCTCCCCGGCGTATAATTGAAGTTTCTTTAGTTTTCTTCGCCGGAGCTCGCGGTGCAGTGTTGTCCGATCCGTGCAGGGGGGATTAACTACACGAGCGGAAAGGGGGGTGACAATGTTTTCCAGGAGCCTCAACCTGTGCGCGAGCCTGTGCCTGTGGATTACGGCGATGACGAGCCCCGGGAGCGTGTGCGCGAGGAAGCAGGACGACTCTTTCTTCACAGCCAGCATTTACCGAGCGAGATGCGCCTCGAGATGCCTCAGCCTGCACATCACTCGCATCTCCGCCTTCTTCAAGCACTCTCAGGTAGGAGAGCCAAGCGATGGGAAAATAAAAAAAAAACCCACCACGGCGCGTCAGTTGATTCCTGCCACGCTCACGAGTGGAAAACCTGCCTTCCCCGGAGCCCGATGTGAGACAGCAGGGCAGCAGGTTTTTCTGTTTGGTTTGTTTTTCTCTGACAGGAAATTGGACATTTCGCAAAGAAAACATAGAAACACCAGATAGGCATCAGCGCGAGGGGGTTAAGTTGCGTGCAAAGTTGCTCCACACAGTCCGCAAACTGTCCTCCGGGCGCACAAGGGGCCACTTTAAAACAAATTAATATCCCAATTAACACATCACAGTGTACTCAAGGAATAAATATGATGAGCGCCTCTAAGTGGAGTTAAATTCCATTCATTACTTGTTAATTACTCAAAAACGCGCCTTTGAATGCAAATGTTTTGGCTGCTTTCTGTCCACATAATTGGCAACTTTTGTCCCACCTTGTCCAGAGGACCTTTTAGTTATGTTTTCATTCAGAGCTGTGATGCTGGATGCTTCATCTGATGTTGGGTAGAAGTTGTTTTTCAGCCTCCTCTGGATGCACTGTTCTCTCCCAGAGAAAAGAGCATGCCACCGGTCCCACTCCCCTTTGCCCCCTTCTCTCCAGCTATCTTATCTGGTGGCCACCTTTATACTCACTCTATTGGCGTGTCCGGGGCTCTTCTTTCTCTAGGTGTAGTAATGACTCGCTAATTGTTGTGGAATTATTGTAGCGCGAGGTAAATGTGTAATTAGCTCTAATGATTCGGCAGAGTGAATGGCTTTTTTTTTTTTACCAGACCAGTTTGACTTGAAAAGGGTTTATTGATCCAGAAGTTGTTGCTCTTAATGGAAGTTCTGGAGACACCGACCTGCCTTGCTTAATTGCTAGAGTTTTATTTAAGGCAGGATATATGAGTTGGGCAGAGGGATGAGTGCACTCCGCTGTAATGAACATCCTGTAAGGGGAGAAAATAGCAGCAGTGGGGATCCAAAAGAAACAGACTGACAGCAGTGTTTCTGAAAGTACGACTTGGCCCGCGGCGTGAGGGATTTGTTTTGAGAGAATTCCAAGTGTGTAAAGCAGCCCCGGGTTGCAAAGTTAAGGGAATTAAATGAGTTACCAGCTAAGAAGTCAAATAACTGTTGGAGCCTCACCTCTAATGAACAGCTAATAGTCGGCATAATTGACTGCAGAGTCTTGGAGTCTGTGGAGGTCTTGGGTTAGGGGGGGGGGGGCAAATAAGAGGGAGGCATTTGTCTAAAGAGAGGGTGGTTGGTGATAAGCAAGGGTGCCCGAGCGGGTTTTTGGGTCTAAGAATAGGCGGCAATTGTTGATAATCTGCGAGGGGTTAGTTTTATGCAGTGTGATCTTAAAAGCCCTTTCATGTGAGGGTGGGGGGTCTGGTCAGCTGCAAAAACATATGGCTGTCCTCCCACCCACCCCCGCCCCTGCCCTCTACCCCCCTAGGCCCGCCAATAAATGCCAGCATCACACCTCACAGGCATGTATAGGACGCACGCCGCGCTGCGGACGCCGCTCCGCCGAGGTCACCTTCCCGCCAACTGCCGGTGCCCGGCCGGGCTCAATGTGACGAGGCTCGGATGTAGAGTTACCACAGCGCCGGGGCACGCTCCGTCAGCACAGCCTACAGGTGGATCTGCTTCCTCTGCCAGATCCCATTACAGCTCAGCGCTCCCCACAACGCCGGAGACGACAGGCCTCTTAATTCAGCGCGGACATCCTTCGGGGGTCATTTAATACTCGCTAGGAAAACCAAGACACACAACACCTTCCATTCTAATGGAAATGAAATGCCTTTGGCATTATGTCCAAGCAGTGTCCTTTTCCTACTGTTTCTTCATATTTTAATGTGTCTACTCAATATCTAGTAATCTATATGAGCTGCTACTTACTTTGGTCACGGTACAAGAGATAAATTGGTCTCTTAACATGTTTTGCAGCTGGAATTCTTTTTCATATTAGCCTTAATTTGATCATTCTCTCATGATATTTGGGAGAATTTATATGTTGTTACAGATGTTATGCACTCCCACACGTCTAAATCTGAACGCACATCAGAGACTGCGCTTTAATTGCCACAGTTCTGAATTAGTGCGAAATGGAAACAAGCGTGGAGTTGCAGAGTTAGGAAAGCCGTGGGTAGTCTATTGGTTGTCAGATTTATAGCAACTGGAGATTTATTGATGTAATAGTTTTTCCAAATACAGATTTATTGGCATTTTATTCCACTTTTGGGGAACTTGTCACCCCTGTACAATAGACAGAGGGGAACACCCAACCATAAATATTAGCCTCGGACACTTTAAAATATTAAGAGCGTGATGGGAGCCCTGTGCAATAATGTATTCTGAAAGCATCAGCCTTGTAGTGGATTATTTATGCGGGGACCTGTGAAGCCAAAAACAAGGTGTGTCCATGAGGTCTTGTTATTACATTCAAAGCAATAAAAATTCTGCTTTTTCCCCCCTTCCCTTTAAGTTTAGTCATTCATTTCTAATATGCTGCGTAGTAAAGTCTAAGCATCTCGCTTGAGAGATTTGTGTTTTACATGGAGAGAAGGAAAAACATTGGAAAGTAGTTTTTCCGTGTCCTCTTGTTTTCTCCTTTGATATTAAATAACCTGTGGTGGAATCAAACCCCGGCCAGCACCCGTCTTATGTGTGGAGTTTTTCATTAGTGAAGACAGCGGATGAATAGAGGTCTATGTTGCTTGGCCTCACCTCTCTGTGTGTGCTTTTAAACCGTGACAGTCCGGCCTGTAAATCTCGGCCCTGCTACACCCTGAGCTACCTCACTTGACAAATAGCCCTCATACCAAAGTGGAGACAAGTTTACACCAGTGTTGTTTGAGATCTCTGCAACACCCTTTTATGTTAACATTGCATGCGGATACATTAGCTCACTTTCAGAGGGCCTGACGAATTATTCATATCAGCTGAATAATTGATGGGTAGAATGACCACGGCTCTTACACCTACTTGAGCCAAAGCCTGAAAGTTGGAGCCCTTTTCTTTTTGGTGCTGCATACTGGGGGGGGGGGGAGTTATTTTGGTGACGCCCGAGGACCCCTGCTCTGTCAAAGGACAGACAGAGACACCAGTCTGGCCTTTGAAGTACTGCCTGGTTCAAAGTGTACAAGGTCTCCTAACCTGAGCCGTGTTTTCCAGCCATTAGATTTAAATGTCGGGAGAAAACCGGGCAAGATTAAGCGCAGCTTGGAAACAAAGATCCAGTTAAAACATGAAAAGACCACAAGAAAAGACGATTTCAATTCTCTAAAGGAGTCGTCCTCGAAGATAAAAGGAGTCGTGTCCATGTTCCTCTCAGTTGTGCAGACAGTACAACAAGCCCCAGGCCACCTGCTCTGACCTGTCAGCTGGCAACAGCCATAATGTATCTTAGTGATAAATGTCCTGTTTACATGACTCCTCGAGTCACTCTGCTGTCACCAGCCCGGCGGAGTTCACCTTAGCACATTCGTAGACCACTGTCTGGCCCCGTCTCCTCAACCCCGGTCACACCAGAGGAGATCTGGAAAGAATTTATTAACTGGAGTCCTTGACAGTGCTCAGCACTGCATAATGTTCAGACTGCATAGGAATGTCGTGGTGAGTCAGAGGGATGAAGTCCTGACCTATAATTATTCCCTTGTTGGTCCCTGAAATGGTGGGGTCAGGCCTGGACAGCTGGGGCAACATCCTGCTGAGCCTCTCTGCTGCGGGGATGCTGTCACATGGCAAAATTAGCTCCTTTTGCGGATCTGGCCCTGTCTCCATTGATGGATGGGAAAAGAAAGCTGTCAGAAACAGGACTGATGATTTAGGACGTGGTCTGCAGTTGTGACAATCTGTGTAAATTATCTGGAGGCATCCACTGCCAGTGTAAATGTCGAAAGTTTTATTTATGTAGTGTCACCAGCAGGGTTTGGCTAGGACAGATTGATCATTAAAAAAAAAAAAAAGCATCGGTGAGCAAACTCCACAAGGATTTCAGTCATGCAACTCTGAACAAAATGATGTGCTAGAGAGGAATAGAGAGTGTTTAATCAAAATTTGGCCTGAAAGGGGACAGGTGTTCTGTGTCATACAAGAGGACAGAGAACCTCCTGATGTACAGCAATACCCTCGGCCAAACCAGCTCTTATTTCAACTTCATTTGCTAACAAAATTAAACAACTATTCCAAGGCTCATTAGTGCTCAGACTCATATATTTCCACCTTATCTGTGTTCTTTTGTGGAGGGAGACTCTGAAGACATGACCGACCAATCACAAATTCCTTTGAAGCCATTTGATCATTGTCCTTGACTCCAAAGGCACAGCACTTACTGGTACTGGATGTCAAATTAAACCCTGTAATGATAACTTCTCTGCCAGCGTCTCGTGGGAAATTTCCTCTGGATTACATTGTGAGGAAAGGCTTTGAACTTGACATTGAACTTAAGCAGACCCTTTGCTCGCAGATCCCTAAAGTTTGGCTGTCCGTCAAAGCTTCATTGCTTTTTATAAAGAGAACTGGGAACGTCCAAATCTCAAGTGCAGATCCGGGTCATTGACCCCAAAGAACTCCATTAGTATACAGTGACTCTGAACTTTATGTGCATCTAATTATTCAGCACTTAATCTGAGGTCTTGAAAACAAAAAGGTGGCCATAATTAATAACCTTTACTGCATTAATGAATCATATCGATCTCTCTGACCTGAGATGTGCTCATTTTGGCGATGGACCCACTAGGCTTCACAGTTTCCCTCTATTCTACAGAGTTTCAAAGTATTTATGTAATTTCAGTTTTATGCAAAAGTCTAAGGGCAAAAAGGGCCACCATGTTGAAACAGAATATTTGGTATGAACCCGGACCTTCTTAGACAAACACTCTTGCAGTTTATTTAGGTAGTCTTCAGGAATACTTCTCCAGACTTCTTGAAGGCCACCCCAAAGCTCTCCTTTGGATGTTGGCCGACTTTTGTTCCACTCTCTGTCAAGATGATTCCACACTTCTTCAGGCTCTGAGGAGGATTCATCAGTATAGAAGACCTGTTGACAACGACTTTCACTCCAGTTACTGGATCATTTGACATACTTCAGTCTTTTCTGCCTGCTGCCCTCCATTAAGAACGGCTTCTTGACAACCACCCTTCCATAGAGACAGTTTCTGATGAGGCGTCTATGAACAGTCTGTAGCCAGAGCACCTGAAGGCCCACATGCATCTCTCACGTCCTGCGCCAGCTATTTTTTGGATCTATTTCCTTTTTCAGGAAATAGACATCCCTTTTAGATAATATTAATCTATAGAAGATGGGAATTTTACACTTAAAAATGTCTTCTTTTTGTCCTCACATCTCCATCTTATTTATTTCTAAGGACCTATTCTACACCCTGTCTGTGTATGCCAGGTTTTTGGCTAATAGCTCTTTTTGTAATTACGTTGTTGGAACAAAAATATTATTTTACGGATGTCAGATTGTGAGCTCTTTTGCATTTTCTGTAGTTGCAACCTAAATAAAGTCAAGCAAATTATATGTTTTTGCAACAGGCTGTTAGTAACAGTGTGCCTAAACATACAATTTGAAATAGGTTTGTAGTTATGTGATGGCAAAACTCTGCCTCCTCCCTTCACAATGCTGGAATGATTCATAGGTTTCATTCCTCTGAGAAAGGGCAGGTACGGGATTTGAAGTGAAAACTGGTGGAAAAAAAGCAGCCAATGTCCAAAAAAAGAAACATTTGGAAGATCCTCTGAGAAAAAGATTCCAATCATCTTGGCTTCTTTACAGCAAATCATGAATAAACGGGGAGCACTTTAAGACTTTTTCCACAGTGATGAGTTTACAGTCATCTTTTTTTCTTTCAGTTTGTTGTGTTTGTACTGTTGAGAACAGCCTGAAACATTGACTCCTAATATTTGTTTGTTTTAAAGGACATTTGCGCTTGATACCCAAGATACGTTTTACAGAGAATAACGGCCAAATGGAATCCAGGAAATTCCCACTTGCACAAGCCTTTTACCCCCACTGGTCCCTGACTTGATAATCCTCCATATTTACATAACAGGGCTTTGTAAATACAAGGCCCTAATAGGGCCAAATGTTTGCGGGGTTGGAGGGCATGAGGTGGCACTTGCACCGCAATTAGAGGAAATTGGCAGTATGTGCAGTCTACACAGGAGTGCTCACATCAGCTCCCGCCTCGCTGACCTCAGCAACGTGTGTGTAGGGATCAAACAAATCCTCTGTAATGGCCAGGTCACCGTGCCCGGCTGAAACTGACCAGAGGTTTGCTCAAGCCTCACTGTACCCTGGCCCCACTTTCTCACTTGGGTTACAGACTCTCACCAAGTAAAAGTTGACTTAACGTCAACCATTCATATTTTTCCAATCAATCAAAAGCTTAAGCAAAGCCGTATGAGGATATATGCTGACAGGAGAGAAGAGGGTCAAAGGGCCTCATGGATTCTTTGTCTGTAATGTATTTTGAACAGTTTGTCTGATGAGTAATGGCATCTTAACTTCTCTTTTTACAGAATAATGGGTCCTTGGTGTGGTGCCAGAATCACAAGCAGTGCTCCAAGGTATTGTGCTTCCATTTCTTCCATGAATAAGATGCATGCCACGTACATGCCTCATTATCAGAGGATAATACAGCCGAGAGTGTGCGAGTCACGACAGGACGTGTCTTGCCACGTCTCCGTGGCAGACATCACTAACTGTTGATATAGACTCTTTTTAACGAGTGTTTACTTAAATTGCCTCTGCTTTTGTTGACATTCATTTCCTCCTGTAATTGGAAAACAATTAAATCAAATCTGAGGAGGCTGAATGCCTGGAAATGTCTGAAGGCAGAGCTTTATTAATCCCTTTTTGGGTGTCATTACACATTTCAGGGGGATGCATCATGGCATGTGTCCAGCAAGGCTTTGTTTGTGTTTTGTGCCCCGTCTCAAAGAAGGTTGATGCAGAGCTGGTGTTGACAGCTCCTTTGAAAAGATGGTGCTGACACACTCCATCAGACTTTCCTGGAACTGTTGACAAGGCCCTCTGAGATGTGCAACATGGACTGAGAGCACTACAGAGCTTAAAGGAGAGGGAGGAGGCGCTGGTGGAGCCTGGTTCAAATACTAATCTCAGCAGGGCTCGCTATGGCTATCAAAGCCCTCATCTCCTCAGTCAAAAGTGAAATCAGGATTCCTTGCTCTCACACGTCCACAGGAGGACACATTTCCGTTTGGGAAGCCGTGCATCTGTTTTCCCTCTCATCCACTTTCCCCTTCGAGATGTAGAAACCTATCAAAACAGCGTATCTGAAGAATGTTGCTGCACATGTGGTGATAAATCAGACGTGGGCCCTCTATCAGCTCCTCTATTCACAGGCACAAGTTATTGGGGAATGCACGGAGAGAGTTTGCGCAAAACTGATGCTTATTAATTGAAACCCCATTAAAATACAGAATGGCTGCAGTTATTTATGCTTACTTCAACTTGGCCTCGTTTGTGCTGCTCGTATTAATCACAATCAGTGTCTGGTATCGGCTGCCTTGCAAAATCACCCTACGCTCTCCATTTCTAAATTTCCTTTTTGAATTTCAAATTGTTTCCTAAGCAATTTGCCTCTGCCTTGCATACAGCTGAGCTATTTAGTCGGTGCTTTCTACAGCATCTCCAAATGCATAGCTACCCGCTGGTGTCCTGCTTGGCGAGCATTTACAACATGCAGTGCTTCTGTATTGGTGAAATTGTCCTAATTTGTTTTTGAAGTGGTCTACCTTGAATAGAATTAGCTGTTAAGAGAACCTCATTGTATAACACAAGCTGTAGCTGAAAGTAACTCCGACGCATAAAACTTGTAGGCCTTGATGGGCTCTGCTTACCCTTTTGATCTTCTTTGAGATTTGAAAGGCACCAGTATAAAAAAAACAAATCAAATTCTCACAGCTTTCAGACTTAAGGAGAAAAGACATCCTCTTTCTCTGCTGAGATTTTTCCACATCTTCTCAGACCGGTTTAGTTCTGGTGGGTATAAGCTTGTCACACTCGATAATGGTACTTAACTGTTGTGTTATGACATATTATGGCTTTGTTTTTATTTGAAATATTGTTTTGTTGTATTTAATTTTAATTTTGTTTTCAGTCTGGCCTTTACCCGAGCACAAACTGGGCTCGGGTTTGAACTTAGAGGGCAGAACGGATGTTGTACTCATTGGTCTGTAATGCACGGTTTGCGCAGCCTATCGTGTGAGGGCTCATCAGACATTACTGTGACCCATAACGCACTGTGACACAAGAAACAATTGCAAAAGACTGAAAGGCTTTTCTGTTACACCATAAAAACAGACATCTTGAGTCTTTTAAATAGTGCATCTAAATCCGATGCCAAGCTTTAATCTAATGAACCACACAAGTCGTATTACTGGTGGTTCCATTGAAGTCTTTGATGTTGATGATGCAATAAAATTTGTCTGTTAGCTCTTCGAAGAAAATATGGCAATTATTTGGTATGCACATCATGACAGACAGACAGGGAGGGAACTGCTCTTTTTCTTTTTTTTAACCCAAAATGCTGTGAAAATTGTTTCTCTTTTCCACTGCGAAAGCCAACATCAGCTGGCACCAGCTGTTCCAAAGTCACTCCTCAGAGTTTATATAAAAGAAAAAAAATCTGAGGACATCACACGGATTTCAAAATCTACCAGCTATGATTTGCTGACTGTCCAAAATCTTTAATGGACTTCTTGTTCTCTCTGCTCTAACAAGCATGCCAGTTAGCACTTCCATATCCCACATGTAGACCCTGATACATGAGGTTGGATTTGATGTAAGCCCTTAAAAATAATGATGTGCTTGTGTTTCTACTCTATGGCTGCGATGCTCTGCTGCTTTGCCAGTCCAACTTCGAGGGGCTTCTCTAATTTAATTAGTTTAATTGTATCCTAGGTTTTTGGTTCAGCTATTCAGGATGCAGGCCAGGGCATAGCGCTTAACTTTAAATTGCAGCAAGAAGTCAATGTTTTGGGAGCAAACATCACCACACTTCACTTCCACCTCAATGACTTGAGTACACACTTTGGATTTGTATGTAGTGTGTGAAAACAGAGCTTTTGTGGCCACGCTAACAATCGTACCAAATGGGCCAATGCTGTACAGTGGCTCCCCGTGAATAGCTCTACAGCTGCTGATTAGCCTCTTCACTTCATGAACAGCTCACAGTCAAACACAGAGACAAAGGGGGAGTGTATTAGGGCAGGATACTCGTCCACCCCGAGCGCTTGCTGAAGAGCCCCTGCCTGCGACGGAAAAAATGAAGTAGGGCTGCCTAATAGTTCACACAAAGATGCTGTGACCCCGTCCATCTGTCTGCGTTGTGGAAAATCGAAGGACCCCGTTACTCTTTTGTGAGGAGAGAGTCCCTCTGGTCAGCTCGTATGCGGCGTCCAGGGCCGACCCCGCTCTCGGCTTCCCCATTGTCATTGTAATTAACCTGCTTGGCCTCTCTCTGGAGCAGAGCGAGGTGGCATTTAAAGAGCCGGGAAGTCATAATAATACCACAACATCGTGCCGGCAGACAAACTGCTTTCAGCAGGCAGCCGACTGGGGCCTTTTCTATGAGCCATTGTCATTTCGTCTCACTGCCGGCGGACCTCCCCGTTTGGATGTGTTCCCTTAAACAGAGAAAATGAAAGAATCAGGTTGTCCTCTTTTCCCGTTGGGGAGAAGTGAATAAACTTTGTTTGTTTACACGGGAGAGTAGGCAGGAGCAGCCAAGAAGCTTTCCAATTTCAGAGCATAGCTGATACCATTTCGCTGCCCCCCCATGGGGGTGATCCAGGCTCCGCATGAAATGTTAGGACAGACTTAAGGGCATGAAGTGCTGCTATGCAACAAAGTGGCACACTTCATTACTCAAATGTCTTACAGGGAGGGACTAAGAGAAAGGACACTGTTTCTGACAATTGGAAAATGCCTCTCACTTACTTCTGAAGAAGAGTGTGACAAATGTACCTCGCAGGAACAGAGAATATTTTTAACACCCCTTTGACATTTCTTCGAACCCAACTGAGTTTTAACTGAGTTAAGGATACAGTGTGAGTTTGATAATGCTTCTGTAGACTTAGATTTTCGTACGAACCAGCAACGTCTGAGTATTCACTGAGGAAATAGCCTTAAGAAAAAACATTGTCAAAGTCGCCATTTAATGGCAAATGAGTCACACATGTCTTTCATGGACATCTCATCTATTCCAGGTGGCTCCTTTGAGCATTTCGTGCCATCCTCAGCCCACCAAATTTGCACATTCCAGCAAAAGAGTAACAAGTGTTTACCCTTTTGGATTATGCGCGCCCTTCGCCTTCACATGTCAGAGGCTTTGGAGCGGTTTTCCTCAACAACAATCGCTGGAATGCCACTATGTAGCATTCAAAAGTGCCTTTTCAAAGCCCACCATCAACCCCCTCTCGACCCCCACATTTTCTCACGCCAAAGCAGAACGGTCGGGACTCACCCGTCAGTTGTTCTGTCTTCAGGCTCTGCTGAATCACAAACTTCACCTCATTTGCTGGTTAAATAAAAAGAGCACTCTTTGGGAACGGGCCACGTCCACCGGAGGCTCCGGGAGCACGTAGCTGCAGTTTATGGAGACGCTTGTGCGGCCGTCTCATCTTTGGGGTGTGTGTGCATATTTTGAGGTGCACCCAAAATATGTGATAAAGTGCTGGTTGGTCGTTTTACGGCTGGGAATAGTTGGGATTGTTTGACTTCAAAGCACCTTTTGGTCATGCTGAGGCCAGACATTCATAGCACCTCCCTGCGTTAGTCACATCACCAGCACCGACACCTCCAAGCAAGATCCACTTGAAAATCAATCTGTCATGTGGGCTGTGTCCGGATAGCCGGCCAGTGTGGGAGCAGGCAGGGTGCAACCGAAATTAGAAGAGGAACATGCCAATTTATTTGCTAAATTCTGTGGGAATTATTCGAGTTGGTGGCGGTGGTGTAAAGAGGCGGCTCTGCAGTTTCTCTTAACACTTTCCCCCTTGTTATTTTTCAATCTAGTCGGAGGCGGTGTGTCAGAGTGCGTGTGGGTGGCGGAGGAGTGTGAAGCAGGGCTGGTCAGTCCCAGCAGGAAGGGCCTGATCTGGACATGGTTGTTAAGTTTCATTGGCTGACGGGGGGGTCGCTTCATTGGCTGCTATCTGTGGAGCTCATTATTCACATGGTGGGTGGCAGCAGGGAATGAAAACCCCCACAGCAAGAAAAAAAAAAAAAAACAAATACAAAAAATACAAAGACGTGGCCGCAGCAGAAGAGGTGAGTTGGAGTTTAGACCCTCTCAGCAGAGAAATCTCTCTTCTCAAACTGCCCTCTGCATCCCAGTGGCCATCCGTTCACTCTGAAAGTCCACTGTGTTTTCTTTCAGTGCGGTGCGAAATGGTGGTCATTTATTTGATTTTTTTGCCCCCTACACGATAATCCAACTTTTCACAGATAGCCAGATTTCCCATGTTCTCCCTGTCAGACGGGATTTCATTCTCTCGAAGGATTAATGTAATCAAGCTGCTGTGAAATCCTCTTTTAGCAA